GGTGGTCTGGCTGCTGAACTCTAGGTGTGAAGCTGAGGACAGCTACCTGCTTTCCTATCTGTCGTCGGGAAGAAGCTAGACACAGCAGATGAGATGCGTGTTCTGACCTGAGCATCCCACCTCGTGCAACAGCAGATTGCAACTACAAAACTGAGCGTCCAATCCTACCTGAAAACGGTGATCAATCTTTGCAGGAGAAGCTCGATGAGATTGGGACGGACCGCTCCAATCAGCAGCTCAGCTTGCGCTAGTCGCACGTGTATGCATGTGTGTCGCCGTGCTTTGGAGTGGATCGAGTTTTCAAAAGCTGTTAGCAATGAACTATACTCTTGCGTGAGGTTGTTAGAACAGCTGGTGCAGCAGCGGGGACAGGTCGAACAGGTTTACAAGGATTTGCTGAACATGCAGGCCGACTTCACACTGGTGAGTGAAGGCGGATTGTCCGAGAGTCTTGACATAAATTAGTCAAAGAACTATACATAGAGAGGGCGTGAACCTGTATGCCAAACCCCACTTTACAGATCTAAGGGAGCAAAAGAAGTCTTTGGTCAAGAAGTATGTTGAAGCGACCCAAAAGGATCTGGCCTTGAACTCTATGCTGATGCGTTGCAGGTGCAATCAAACATACGGATGTTAAAACACGCACATACACGGAACTAGCAACTCTAGTATATCTTTGGACAGGTCAGCCATGTCTTCTGCGCAGGAATTGCAAAGCCCCGAAGCCCAAGGCCCAGGCTAAGGGAGCTGGCCGTCCCAAGCGCCGCAAGCGAAAGGCCGTAGAGGAACCCGAGGCAGCTGAGCCTGAAGCCCCGGCTCCAAAACGGGCGCCAAAGAAGGGGACCCATGCTGCGGCTGCGACCCGCAAGAATCATCGTGGGCGCCGCCGCTAGTGGATTTTTTCCGGAGCATCGGAGTGTGTCACTAGGAAGGGCACGATTTTGGTAGAGAAGCTACTCATGAAGCCGGGCCAGTGTGGGAAAAACAGACTTTGGTTCAACCGACCAAGCTAGCAGCTAAGTACATGCAATGGAGATGGTACTGGGCAACACCATTTTCCAGCCAGGTGAGCTGGCACCTGCAAGCTGCACCCATCTCTTTTCTGACTCGGGCTTCTTGGCCACTGAAGTCCTGGTATGAAGATCTGCAGTTCTCTTGGCCAGATCTTGGTGTGGCACCTCTTCCCAAAAAAAACATGGATGCCACATCCCTCGCTCACTGTATATATTATATATATAATGTAGAAGAGCTCCACTAGAACAAGCGCGACATCCCCCATCCTCCCTAGAAGAAAAGGACACCTTCTTGGAATACCCTGAGGTTGTCCTGAAGATGACGACGGCGACGCCTTATGTGATGAGCTGGCGGAGGAACTTCTAGTTGATTTTTTCTCTGGGGTGTTTTGCCTGCACATTGGCGTGTTGACCAATAGGATGGTGTGCTGCCCGAAACTCACAACCCCACAGCCCACAACGTCTCAAACTGAATTCGAACTGAGGCCCAGTCAGCGAAGCAAGTTGCCCTCAATGCCCGTCGAATTTGCCGCGTGAGGCGGACCAGCCTCCTGGCTGATTGAGCTTTCAAAGCGACACCCAACCTCGTAATCTTCAGAACTCTGTGGGCCTGCCCTCTGAGGAAGGCAAGATGATCTTCTTTGGAAGATGGCCAAATGCTCCAACAGCAAGAACCGCAACGCCTGTAGAAACCTGACAAAACTCATCCGCCGCTCCGGGGCCTGTGTCGACATAGAGCTGGGCTTTGTCCAGGTCACCTGCCGGAAGAGAAGGCCAAAGATCCAGGAGATAGATATTCATTGGCCAATTGTTCCGATGAGAGGCTGGTGCAAATACCTTTTTGAGCATGAACCAGGCTTGCTCTTGGGTGGCCACAGCCGTGGGATGTCGGCTGCATGGATGAGAATGTTTTCGGAATTTTGGTCGAAATACCGAGCCATCAAGCCGGACCATGAGCTATATTCTTCCAACAAGCCGTTGGGGCAGTGCATCCCATTTATGACACACGGGGATGAAGGAGTTTCGCACCGGCGCGTTCCGTTTCTTGTCGAGTCATGGCAGCCAGTGATAAGCTATTTGGGCCCTGGCAGGACTACAGTGTCAGGGAAACTTGTTTTGAGATAAACTGTTTTGCTTCTCTCAAAGGGGCCCCACTGTATGTGCAGCTGTTCTCGGGAGGTTGCTTTGCCAAGAGCTAGAACCAAAACTTGCGTGTTCCGAGCTGAGGGACAGCTTCTGCAGCCGATTTCTCTACACTTGCATGTCGTCTGCAGCCTTTAGCGGGGAAACAACCCTGTATCAGCTACACACTGCCTTCATCCAAGAGATGCTAGACCTTTACCATGATGGCTTCGAGGCAGGCTTGCAAAATACAGCATGCCACATGATACAATCTTATTGGCCCAAGCTGCCGGCACGAGCCAACAGACCTAAAAGACAATTTTGTCAAAAGCCTTCCAAAATGATGATAAAAGAGTCCCCCAAGAATTGTCTTTTAGGATCTGTTGGCCTTTCTTGGTGGCTCTGTTTACAAATGCTTGGTGCAGTCATCTCTGGAGGTGACCCCTAGTGATCCGTCCTCTCGGGTCTACTTCATCTGGGTGGGCAGCAAAGGGGATTGGAAGTACCTCCGCTCTGTTGCTTGCCTTGGCGGTTAGATGTCCTCTTTGGGGCTGTGAGGGACCCTTCAGTGGTCCGTTGCAGGGTTCTCAAATGCTGTTCAGGGTCATCCACCTTGGTATGGTCTTCTTGTTGTGCTTTGGAAGGATCCTTTTGGTGGGTTCCACAGGCCTTGGCCCAATAAAAAACATATCTAACTGCTCCAGGAAAGGGAGATGTGCGTCTGGTGGCCATGGAAATAGTGTTCGACTAGGCCTGAGAGGGAGGTGTGTGTCTTTTAAGACACTGTGTCATCTGTGAGGCCGGAGAGGGACAAACGCTCGGAGTTTCAAGACCCACCCACATCCCCCAGCTGAGGCATGGCGCCTCAAAACAGGATGGAACGCTGCCAGGAAGTGCCACCTTTGTGGTGGTGAAGACAGGGCTGGGAAAAAGTGAGAGGGGGAGAATTTTTGTTTAACAAACAACAACAACCACAACAACAACAACATGTGTTCAAAGAGACGGTGTTCAAAGAGACGCTCGTTTACGTTCTGTGCATTTTGGGTACAGGGGTCTTCAACAACCTGTACTAAAGCTAGGGGTAGGCTCCTTGGGAGAACCCTAATTTAACAAGTTTTGGGCTTGTTGAACTGTTGTAGGGTGGCCAAAACATGCAGTACATGTTGATCGTCCTTTGCGGGTGTACCTATACCTTTGATTAAAACACGGGGGTTATAAAAATGGTGCGGTGGTCTTTGGTGTATAAATATCATCGGAACTGTGCCACCAGTCTTCCTTTTAGATCCTTTTAGTGAACAGCTTCATGCTGGGGCGGCCCTGACAGGAATGGTATAACCCCAGCTTGGAAGCAGAATCACGAAGATCCCGGCCTGGTGATGACCCCTTCAAAGATGGATTGCCGACCCCCTTCCTCCACCTACCTCATGCTGGTCCGGAAGTGATTCTGGTAGATGTTGCGCACTCCTTCCATATAAAAGGAGTGGGAGTTGACTTTGCTGCAAGTGTGATCGTTTTGGGTTGCCGCAAGAACCTATGGGGGACAGGGGCCTTTGATGCAAAGCTTGAACAGGCTTACAACCAGTTCCTGGAGTTTTGTACAGCTTCAAAAAGAAGCACTACCTGTGGGATGTGGTCAATGCTAAAACTGGACATGTCCAGCGGGAATGATTTTCCCACGTCTTTGGACGGAAAGGGGATGGACACAGCGGTGGTTTCTGCATGGCTGGAGGACACTTTGTCAAAGCAGGCTAGCGGCTGACCAATATGCGAAGCAAGCGTTTGCAAATACTTCAACACTCAGGCTTTAGAACCCCCACTTAGACGACCAGCCAGAATTTCACAGTTGCCATCCCTAGTGGGAAAATCGGTGGTTTTGGAAACACAGGTCTTGAAGGTTGTAGAAGGGCTACATAAAGACCCACTTCCTCTCTTGGCAGTCCCTCTTAAAGGACCTTGGTGGCGACGAGGAATTGGAGATTGCCCTTTACAGCTTGAGGTCCATCAACCGCTTCTTCCGTGAATTGCATGCGTCCGGGATTTGGCGGACAGGAGTTCAGCAGTTGGAATCCCAACGACTGGTCAGAACCTTTTGTGAGGGGTTCGCACAGTTAGCTTCGATGGAGGCCTCTCAAGGAAAACTCATGTTCAAGTTGAGGCCCAAATTGCATATGCTTCTGGAGGCCCCAAGCCAGAATTCAAGTCCGGAATGGGCGTTGAATTGTTTGGCAGCTTCGTGCTGGAGCGACGAAGACTTTATTGGACGAGTCGCAAGGACAAGTAGATCGTGCTATGGGATGGGTCTAGCTCAATCCCTGAGGGTTTTACAGAAGTGTTTAGGTGCCTACAAATGCCAGTTCCGTAGAGCCACTACATATAGATAGCATAGCTGCACTGAACCTTGGCTCCCCGGCGCTCATCACTGCAAAGAGGCGCGAGCAGGATGTGCGCATCATTGTGGGCAGTGCAGGGTGTGGAGGGGATCGGTTTGGGACATGTGTGAATGCATGTTTTCAAAACAACTGGTTTTGGCACAAAACAACTGAAACACCCTGTTCTCCATCAAAACTCCCTATTAACTAAAACTCCTTGAAATTTCAAGGTGTTTGAATCTTCAGGTATATATACATTTATTATATATATATATTATATTATATGTATTGTTATATAGATATTATACAGATTATATATATATATATTTATATTTGTATCATTATATATGTATCCATATGATGCTGTTACTTTTGCAAACCAATCTGTGGCACTAAACCTGATCACTGATCATCCATGTTTTTGTTGTTGTGACCCTTCGTGGATAGTTCCGCCCAAGGAGCCACCTGGTCAATCGACCGGTTCCGCCCAAGGAGCCATCAGCTTGAGCTGTGTACTCGGGCTCTTCGAAAGAGACCTGGTCAACGCACCGATTTATACCGCCAAAGAAAATGGGTAGGTTGAGGACCTCCCCACCCGCATTCGCAGCTTGAGGATCCCTCATGAGTCCTGTCTTTTGAGGAATCTGTTCATTTAACCCAGGGTTAACCCAGGGTGCCCAGGTTTTCACCAGCCGTATGGGACATAGAACATAGACGTAGCGCATAACAAGAAGCATCACCAAGCTCTCCCCTGTACAGTTCCAGGGTTTGACAACACCAGCACATGAGGACATATGAGGGCAGTTACATTGAAAGTCGAGTCAGCACCACTTTGAGTGCTTGAAGAAAATGCTGGAAGAAGCAATCATTCAATCGATACACTTTAGTTGTCCTGTCAGTCTTTTGATAGAACCTGTGGGTGGACCTGCTCCTGCATGTAAACGCAGAAAAAAAGGGCAACACCCCTTTCTGTGTTGGTTTTGTCAATCTAAATTCGACCAGAAGCGGCAATGCCCCTACACCCAACCAATACCACAAAATGACACAAATTAAGTGATCAACAAGCATTGTGGTGACTGGTGGCTGGGTGCCAAGGATCAAAGAAAGCCGCAAAGACTTGCTAGGACTCAATGTCTTGTATATACAGGTCCTCCCAAATCAACGCCGCAAAACACTGAACGACCAAACGTGGAATTCAGCCTGGACGACCCAGTGAGTGAAAGGAGCCGCATGCCAGGAACAAAGTATATGTTCTGGGGCCAAAAGCGGGGCCTGGGATTGGTTCAAAAGGGTGAAGACGAAACATGTCGAAGAAAGAGAGATATCCCCATGATTCCCCATGTCTTTCCACTGTTGATCATCATGATGATCATCCATGTCGTCCATGATGATATCACTATCGTCCATGATGATCATCCCCATGTCTTCATCACCTGCCAGTGTTCTTCGCGCACTCAGTTCCCACAGCCACCCGCTCAGTGGGAACACGTCGCACCTTCACGTGGCTCTGCGCCGCGAGATTGTATACCTGACCACTTGGGCCAATTCTGCACCACTTGGATCAATTCTAGAAGTGATCTTGGACCAATTGGCATGAATTTGTGGCATGCCATTGGACAAGTGAATTCCACATTCTGCACCACAAATGGCAGAATCCTCCATTGCAAAAGAGATCCGCTGCAAGCGGATACGGGGTCTTGTTTCGGGTGGTGGGATGAGTTTCTGTATAGACTCTAGCATGAAAACCATTGAACACCATGTGTTTTCCAATATGTTTCCAGTGGCACAAATGGATTGGCAGGTGATCAGCCGACCCGAGCTCTCGAGCGACCCGAGCGAGGCCCAGGCCCATGTGAATGCAAATGAACCAGTGCCACACTACCCTCCATTCAACAAACATGGAAGTGGAACATGACCGCTTGGAAGACTGTTTTCCTCTACGAACAGGCTGTATTCCCCTTTCAGGGAGGGTAAACCGTGGCCAGCAAATTTGCCACAAATCATTCTTAACCCGATCGTTGGATGGCTCGCTCATCTTGCGGAAAAAACACCCATATCACATGCGTTTTGTTTCTTCTTCTCCTGTGGCAGCACTACTGATTCTACAACGGGTATAGTACTACCTCCAGTCATCCAAGGTGCTTCATCAGGCTTGACTTTGGCCATGATGGATGCTAAGTTGGAAGAGTCGACCAAATCCTGAGTCGGACGCACAAATGGATGGACTGAGTCCTGAGTGATGGCTGGCTGGTATATAGTATTTATATATGCCTAGAACCTGAGTGACCTCTATTTTGGATCATCAACCACCCAACATATGATCTTTTCCTATCAAAACAAAGGTCTAATGGGCTCCAGGCATATAATATGTATATTATATATATTACAATCCTGGCGTAGATAGAATCTGAACCAATCCAAAAACAGGACCCGTTTCCTAGTGATTTGGGGCTTTCCATATTCTATGTACTACGACTTTTTGTATAATATGTTGTACTGATGATGTATAATATGTTGTACTGACGATGTGTAGATATCCAAACTTTGAAAAATAAAATGAAGGTTCCCACCATTGCAAAAAATATAACTCCTAACAAGTCAAGTCTATGTATATAGTATACCATAATATACCATATATAGCTTGCATACTTTTGGACTTGGACAAAGGCCAGGTGACATATGGCTCTCTTGTTCGAAGGCCAGCTGGCTTGACGCCTCTGAGTACTTCTCTTGGTGCTATCGCGACAGGACTAACATGCCATGGAATACGTCATGTCCTGCCGTTGCCTAGATGTCCTCTTTCATGGTCACCAAAACTCCCCGCAACCTGAAACAGGAAAAGCACCGTGCATATATGGCTGTGGGTCAAAACTGGGGACCCTGGTTGAACATGTGTTCCATGAACAGAATAGACTACCAGGGAGATGAACCTACCAGGCTTCGGGGCTCGAGACTCACACCGTGCCCAAAAACCTGCCAGCTGTGGAGGCCAGGAGCTCCATAGTGCAAACTCACCTTGTCAAAGATGTGATCAATTCGTGCCTCAGTCTGGCGGCTTGAGCCGCTGTCCGTGGGCATGGATGGGAAGGATGCTGGAAGTGCTAGTAGGGCGAGAAGGACGAGACTGAACCACATGTCATGGTCGAAAAGCTTCAAGGATTTCAGTTTTGATGCCCCTCTGCTTGGGCGCGCGATGCAACGGTGTGGCGCTTAATTAGGTGTTGTTAGCACTCCTTCTTGACATGAATCTTGGGACCACAAAACAATAACATAAGCTTGGTAAACTTAGTCTCTTGGATTCTTTTGGACTATTTGGATCCACATTGCCGCCAAGCTGCGGTGTTGAAACTGGACGATCGCCGAATAATGCCGTGGACAGAGTAGCCCTTTTCCAAAAGGAACTCAGCCAAATATGAGCCATCCTGCAAGGAGTCGAGTCGAGAACGGTCGCCCTGGGCCCCTCGAAGAACAAACACATACTTTTTTGCCCGGCCGTTGCCCAGCCATGGCGCGCACGTCGACAGGTGCATCCCACCATTCTACGGGTAGCTGATGGTTACCCTCCCTGAAACAATCATCGTTACGTGGAGGTCCAGCCTGTTCATAGAGGAAGAAATCGTCGTTCCTTTCGGGGCCATGTTCCACGTAACCATGTTTGTTGGATGGAGGCTACTCACCTTGTCGACATTGAAATCGGAAGTGGCCTTCGCTCGTTCGCGGTCAGACCCGTTGGGGCCGAAGGGGCCTTCCGAATCGGGCCCTGGCCCTATGGTCTTCTCTCTTCGAAGTGCAATTCCAAACACTCCATGTATATATAGACAACTATAGACTGATTATATAACAAATAACATATATGACCACCCCAGTGTAACGTTAACTATCTTCCTTAACTATTCTCACACCATGGATGATCTGGGAATGGTGAAAAAGAATCGGCTGGACAACTCTGAACTCTCCCGAACCCAGTTTCTGTTCTCCCCTCGATGTGACCAGGCCCGTGAAACTGGAGACTCCCACCCGGCAACGGGTGCTTTCCAAGCGCAACTGGTCACCACGTAACTGTTCCAAACGTAGCTGGTTGGCCCAAGGAGCAAGACGGGCCACACCAAAAGAAGACGCCAAACGCCAAGCCGCACGGCCACCCAACCAGCTGGAAAGCCACCCAACAAGCTGGAAAGCCACCCAACAAGCTGGTTCAAGTATCGCAAGTCTTGAAGAACGCTCCAAATGCTGGGGTAACGCCAAAAACCTGGTGCCCCAAATCTTCCAACACCTCGCTTATGCGCGGTGTATTGCAAAAAGGATTTGGAGGTTTTTGATGAGATGGCGAGTTGACATTTTGAGCACGAAGAACCCGCGCCTGCCCAGTGATACCAGTGATCAGAGCAGTTTTGCCTGAGCTGCAGGCGCAACGAACCGATGAGGTCGAGTTTCTGAGAGCTCTCGGCTCTCCGTTCCTGAACCCTCCGGCAGCGGGTATCATGAGCCACCAGGGGTGAAGATTGCACAACGACATGGCAACATCAACAATCCATCGCCTAGCAATGACCTATTTGCAGCATTTTGCAGCCTGCTCTTGCGGTCCATGTGCTGCAAACAAAACCAACAGCAAAATTGATGCTTGATAGATTGCAAGGGGCCAAATACAACAATGTGAATGGCATGAACATACTCTTCCACCAACTCCTGAGGATTCTTTGTTGAACAACCCGTTCTAACACATTCAAAGCGTTTTTGCATCTATACAATGCATGATATTATATACGACATGTTTTTCAGCACTCATTTCCGGATCCCAAGAGGCTAAGGGGAATTGAATATATATATATATATATTTATTTATTTATTATATATATATATTATATATAGTAGCCAGGACTGCGCATGAAAAGCACGGGAACATATACAGCTCGTCCGTGGTAGTCCGTCGTCCGTCTCCATGTCGCCGGTCTGCCCAAACCCATCGAAGTGCCAGTCACACGGGTGACTGGCACCCGCGTGACTACCTTCTTGGACACAAACTGAAGAACCAGATTCGACTCATGACAATCCATGGGACTGGCATTCTGGCATAGGGTGAATGTGGGTATACTGGGCGCGGATGACTTAGGACTTAGAACTTCTGATATGCATTGTGACTTAGGACTTCAGGTTGGAAGGTACTTCTGCTAACTCAGTCCTATCCGCGGGCAGTACACATATTCAAGTCCCATATAGTCCTATGGGACAATATGACCACCAACAAAAACACATTTCATTCACGCCGTCGTTTGAAAGCACCAAACTCATTTGAACACACCAAATGTCACCGCCATGGCTTAGTCCCCCATAATATCGCGTGTATATATATATAACATATATATACACATAGAACCTAATTGACCTCTATTTTGGATCATCAACCACCCAAAATATGGTCTTTTCCTATCAAAACCAAGGTCTCATGGGCAGCTATCTATCGTCTCACCGGAGCTCTAGGTATTATTGACCGAGCTCTTGACTCATCCGAGCCTTTGTTCCTCCGAGCGGCGCATCTCCGTCGTGGCGGACAACGACGTTTCGACCGGGCTTTCGATCTACGGCAGCACCGGTTTTGGCACAGCTGGAGCCAACGCGGCTGGAGGTGGAGCCAACGTGGGATCACAACCGACCCGCGCACCAGGCAGCCAAGGCACTCCCAAACAAACAAACAAACCCCTAAAAAGAGCTCAAAAGCACCAAACAATCCCTTGAGCCATTGATGTCTTTCTTTTCCCAGGCCTTTGATCAACTGCGCTCCGGATGGTTTTCCCCATCACGACCTTTGAAAACGCCCCCGCAAAAACGACCCTTTCCAGCCTTTATTCCCCACGACACAACCAGTCGGCGTACCCTTTACGCTCGGTGGAGATGGTGCTCGAGCCTCACATGCTCGAGCTGCTGGTCTCGATAGGGCCCATATATTCCGAGGACTGGATCGAGAGCTTGGTCCCCACCGTGTCCTGGTGACCCGTTGGGCGGTCACGAGTCCAACGGCGCGGGTGGTGAAGGTGGTGCAACCGGGAGGTGGAGAAGGTCTCTCTTGGGGATGGGGGGCGATTCTGGGGATGAAGCAGCTGAAGGCTAGATGTGATGTGGAACAAATGGGTTCTTCCTGGTTCTTCCATGTCATTACAGGCATTCCGTATATGCTAGCACATGCTAGCACCATGGACCATGCACTTGATGGTTGGTTAACGTGTGCCTGTCGAATGTTCGTGCCCAACAACACCCCAAAAGTCCATGTGCCAACTCATCATAACTCATCAACACGACCGCTCTTCTCAACACGGCCACTCACATCCACCCTGAACCCCCCAGCTCCATGCGCGAAAACTCTCTCATCGTCCTCCTTGATCCGGCCCAGCAGAGCAGGATGAGTGACTCCGGAGGCCTGATTGATCTGAGAAGAGGAGGCAAAATCATCAGTCTGGTGAGGTGAATAAAACGCCAGGTCGGAATGACACTGAGGGAATAGATCTGTGGACAAAGAGGTAAATGTTTTTTACTGGCACAAGCGACTCCAATGCGGGTGGTCTACATGGACCCCCATCTAAGACACGTTGAGGGGATGGCGCCATCTCCTCTGAAACGACTGTAAACCAATTCAAGCCATGCTTCAAGTTCGGAGTTTGAGCTTTGATATGATAAATTAATCTAAACTCGTTTGCTAGCTGCTTGGCACCTCTGTCTTTGCTGCATGCAGGTTCATCGCAAATGAGGCCTCCTGAGGGTAGGTCTGCGCCAGCCGGACGGCTTCTCTTGTATTATCTGCACACATGGAACTAATTATGGAATCCATTATGGACACACACACGCACACACCCTCAGTTCCACAAGCGAAGCTCATTCTCTTGTGCGCATTACATCAAATGTCTTCTTGGCCCGGTTCCATGTCTTCTCCACAAAATGTCCGGGAAAGAACTGCAGGATGTGCTTCTTCATGTTTGGCTGGGGTGTGGTGGGGTAATTGCCTGACATACCCTGACCGCTTCTCCTCGACCTGCTCTGCCGATGCCCGCTGGCCGCCAGGCACGTCATCCTGGCAGGTCTCGGGTTGTGAAAAATGCACGTCCACAAAAGTATGTGTTGTCGGTGAGGCAAGTTTGCCATAGTTTGCCCAAACCACCGGGTATGATCAACTGTGCAGGAACAGTTGCAAAGATCATTCGCAACCCTTCACTCAAAAGTGTTGTTGCATGTTGCCCTTGTCTTACTTCTTCAGCCAATCGGCATCTGGCGACACTTTCCACGTGGCAAACGCCGCACCGCATGGGGCACCTGCCACTCGTCATTGGCACATGCACAATACGCCTTCCCGCGACCCGCGCTCCGCTTTCGAGCGAGTGACATGGTGTGACACACGCCTTCCAATACGGTGGCTAAAGTGAAACGTCTTTGAACACCATGAGTCGTCGGCGAGTCTTCTGTACTCCCTCAACAGGTTCAATCCATGCCGACAGACGGCGATTCTGGATCGAACATGAACACATGTGGAAATTGACAGTCAAAGTGACCTTTCTGACCTAAAAGGGAACTTAGAGACTCCAAAGGTCCTGGTCCTGGTGGATTTGACCTTTTTTGAGGGAATCCTTTGGTCCAATAACAGCGAAGAAAACTCATGGAAGACCCCCACCTCCCCGGTCAGCTTGATCTCACTCATCTTCAAACTCGGAGTAATGGCCTCAGGTGAGGTGCCCGAATGCAACATGGATGTGTATTCTAATTGAAAACACTTCCTGGTCCCATGGTATGGGCCCTATGTGCTACGTCTGAACCCGGGTCTATGTGCCCAACGAGCAGTCGTTCTGCTGGCGGAATAAAGGTGTTCATCCAATTTCATAATTTTTCCATGTTGATATCGATACAATATATATATATATATTTGGGAAATATATATATATATATATCACTGGAAAGGGTTCAAGTTCAAGGTTATCCACTGACTGGGTAGGCCTTTGACGGATCACTCCTTGTCTTGCTGAAATGAATGGCACATCGCCTCGGCCAGTGTCCCATGACAAACACGAAGGGCGAATGGGAGCGCGAAGCTGCTTCGTGGTGCTCCTTCGGAAGCAGGAACAGGTCTTGTCTCAGTCTGCCTCCATAGAATCCCACAAAGTTTACGGAATTAATTTCATTGAATTTCCTCCAAGCAAGCAAAGTCCATGCTGCGTTCGTTTGGGGTGAATGTGAGGGTACGATTCTTTCCTAAGTAAGTCCTCGCCCCAGACTGTAGGCGCGCCCCATCTCCAGGCCACAGCCTGGGCCTCCACGCTATTCCACGTGCCACCCTGGAAGCGAAGATGACGGAAGCCGTCCCACGAGACCAATCGAGCGCAGCCCGGGCGTCGGGGGAACTCCCTGTAGCTCGGAGTCGGGGGATGGCTGGATGGTCGTGAGCTCCTTGGATGGCTCCTTAGCTCCTTAGCTCCCACCTGAGCAATAGCTTGACATATATTTAAAAAGATTACAAGAATCAAACCGCTTGCACTTCCAACGGGTGCCCTGTTTGGAGACCTGTTTACGTAGGGAAGGGTAGTCTATTGGACACCCATTGGTAGTCCATTGGCAGCTAAAGAAGCAACTCTCTGTCTCTCTCTCTCTCTCTGCGAGCCATTGGTAGAATAGTTCCACAGCATGGCATTGATCCAGTTTCCTGATCCCCCCCCATTTCGCATGACTGAGATCCGATCAACTCTTTTTACCAACGATTTCTGATCCGACCAACTCAGACTGAACATCATGTCAACATAATTCTGAACTCGCTCTCACCCCATTGGCCACCGGACTGCTGGTCGTGCTCCACCGTGCAAATCGCCCCCCATGGCGTTTTGGATCCGTGATCGGCCGCAACCCGTGCTCGAGGAGCTTGGTTTCAAAGGACAAAAAGGCATAATCATGGACATCTGCGTGCAACCAGTAGCGGCCCCAAGCGATCTCTCTCTCTCTCTCTCTATACTATACATTTATATATACATATAAAAAATCACATCTATTTTAAGCACTATATTGTATAAATAAATAAACAAATATATATATATATACATAAGCTAGCATTTAAAGACCAAGCTTGCAGTGGAAAGTTCCGTTTCTGAAGCCTTGTGTTCACTCCCTGTCCACCCGCTCTAGAAGGAGCTTCCATCTCGACTCCGGCTACGTACTGCACTTGGAGAAGCTCTCAGATTGCAAACTACCAAGGGGTTGGGGAACTCCCTGTAGCTCCTTGGCTGCCTTGGCTCTCTGCATCATGGGGAATATGGGTACCCCCAGCCATCGCTCCTCCTGAGCAACAGTTCGGCAACGTCTGGAGAACGGGACAGTCGTTTTCCAGTGTCCGCTCTGCGCACGGGATGTGAGGATGAGGTCTGTCTCCGCAGTTCTGTACATGCAAAGAACAGAAGTTTGGGCGGTGCTCTGCAGCCCTCTTCACGGCAGTGACGCATCATGACGCATCATGACGCATCAAATGCCTGGGGCGGCTGAGCTAAAGCAAATTTGCTATGTTGATTCAATCCAAGGCAAGTGGTCTGCTCTGGAGCAAACACTGTAGAAATCCTGAGCGGCGGCGGCAGCAGGCCTTCCTCACAGGATGCGAGGCTGCATCAGCCGCTGACGTCAGCCTTATCGGCATCCCACTATTCATCATATGGTTCACCACCTGAAAGGAAGGACCTACTGAATCGACTGACCCCTCCTCGCGAAGATATGCCAAACACCGAGGTCCGCGTTTCTTCTGTGTCACACCCAGCAAATCGTAACACAGCCAAGAGTCCAAAGATGGCCAAATCATGCCAAATCCAAATTCCAATCTTCACATCTGCTCAGAGGTCAATGACCAAAGGTCCATTGGCCAAGAGTCGTTCCTCTTTCCCACTCCCGCAGTTCGCGCCATTCACCAGGAGGGTGGATTGCATCTTCACCGCGCCCCGAGCGAAGTGGACGTGCCCTGAGATGACCTCAATCCACCGGACCCTCCTAGACGTATCCAATGACGGCATGACCCTACCGACACATGCAGGGTACTTAGAGGGACCAGCTATTAAAACAAAAAGAAACACACACATATATATATATATAGAGTGCATATATGCCCCTAAATGAGCCAAAGTTGCTGAAACGTTCAGTCTGCTTAGCTTGGGTTGATGAACACGCCTGTACGCAAAGGAGGGGAAAGGAATGAAAGGGATTGAAAGGGCACTACCCAGTGACCAGTTCAGGCTGAAGCTTCACCACGGCATCCAGCAAGGCAGGACAGCCTTTACCTCCATCAGCACAGCCTTTGGCAGGGTTATGGGCAATCAACACATCGGTCTCGCCTGGGATCTGGTCGAAATACGGATTTCCAGTGTGGCAAGGCCAAAAGAAATCCGTCCCAAAGAAAGACACCGGAGGCCGGTCACAATGTGTCAACTTGAAGCCGGATTGCCGCAAGAGTGTGGCGTTGGACAACACCTCTCTGGCCCGAGAGTTCCAAGTCGCATTGGTTTCCTCAGTGCATTTTTCAACAACATGAACATTGGATGTCAATCTCCCCTCGTTCCTTGATTGAATTTGGGTTGAGATGGTATGACCTGTGATTGGCCGTGACACACACACACACATGTACGCATCGCACCAAAAAACATGAGAAGTTCTCCGGCCCAACTGCCAGAAAAAAAAGACAACAAGGTTGTGCGCCCCTACATATGCCTACATCTGCCTACCAACTGGGGTGAAAAGCTGAAGGAATCCAACATACATAAGATCTTCGCAAAGCCTCGTGGTTTCCTAGCACCACCAGCTTGGTCTTGTGTGGCTGCTCCCCCAGCCAGCGGTTGAAGTCCTCAGCATGCTCCTCCTTTCCAAACTGAGTGAAGTCCCCAGCGTGGATCAAGATGTCTCCATCAGGCACCTGCTCCATCAGTGTCATTCCAGAAAACCGGCCGTGGGTTACGGCTCCGGAACTTTCAACCCCCTGCCACCTGAAGACCTGGCCCCAACAGAAGCGCCGGAATGTCAACTGACTCACAGCACAAAGATCAACGCCTAAGTGGAACATCTGGCTCTGCCAAAGGCCTGAGACATGACCCCAAACCCGGGTGGCGACCAACATATTGACCAACGGATCGAGAACGCGGTGGCGGCCATGGCACGGTCAAGTCTCTGTGACAGTTGTGGGTGTCACTGATGATCACGAGTCGCAAGCCACGTCTTTGGCGCTCGCTGCACAGGTAGTCACAGGTCGTCGCTGCATCGCGCGAAAAGGACACCTTGCAGTTTGCAAGGTATCGACCAAAAAGACCGGTTGTAATGTAGTCTCTCCGTTTGTCGCCTCTTCATCTGGGAGGTTTTTAATCAAGAGTCTATACCAGCGCCCCCGTTTTGGGGTGTCTATTGATAGCCCCCCCTTACGGGAGCCCAGCTGTGCATGAGCCAATGTGCTCCATGCTGCCCAGGTTGCCCATTTGGACATGGCCACCTCAGGCCTCATATTGTGTTTTATGTAATATATAGAATATTTTAGAATGATTTAGAATGTCTGGGGTCTATCCTATTACCTGTATCCGTGGATGATGGCTCAGTTGCAGGCCTTGCTCAAAAAATGATGATCATTGTTTACGGGTCCTGTTACAGGTCAGTTCGGACAGACCCATGTCATGTCATGTCTTAGATCAAGTCGCAAGGAAGGACACAAACGTGTGAACATGTGGATGCAGATAGGAGAAACTGTCTAGTAGCCACGTACACCCCACCAGACAAACCATTTAGTTAGGCGGGGTGATATCATTTGGCAACAAGATGAGTTGAAGCATGAGAACCTCATAGTTACCATTTAGTTGTATATTATATAATTACCATTATAGTACTATAGTGGTTTCAGAATAGATGGCACAATCCCCAAGTTTGGTGGTTTATATGGACCCCCACCTAAAAGACATCTTCGGGTGTCAGTGCCATCTACTCTGATGGCCCACTGTAGTTGTATAACTTATATTAGCAGAAACATGAGTTGCACAAGATGTTGGGTGCGATCCACCGATCTGGATCCATCATGATCCATCGGTTGAATTGAGACGAAGATCTGGTGTTTGCGCGGCTTAGTACACTCCCCGAACTAAGATGGAACTGGAAAAACCCTGTTAGTAGAGGAAAACGGTCTTTCAATGGGCCATCCCATCCACTTCCATGTTAGTTCCAGGTCAACCATGCGCCAAAGCGGGCCAAACAAACATCAGTGGAACAAAACACATGAACAGTCGCGATCCCGGCAAATCAAATCATGAAACCTGTTTGTCATGATCCACTTCGATCAATCAAACCCGTTTGGCACCTGCATCCTGCGAATCAATTGAACCTGGCCATGCGACCTGTTGTGCGTGAGTCCTCCTTCTCCGTGGGCACACCGCGAACAGGGAGCAAAGCATGCCCAAGGAACCACCAAAGGAAGTGGTCGCCATGGCACACGGTGGCACACGATGGCGGTGCAGCCCCGATCGAATCTGCTCCAGCCCAAGCCTGTGGATCAGCTTGAAGGGTGAAACAGGTCATGTTTCCAGCGAAGGCCATTGGGCTCCCTCAAAGGGTGCATTGTTCCAGAGTCTCCGTGTAGTGTCCGCGTCTGTTTATGCCTTTCCAGACTTCACAAACAAACATGTTCCAACCAAAAACTCATCAAGGACATCGCCCCCCCAACACACTACTGTATGGGTGTTGATTCATAGGGAGACCTCCCAGTTCGACCTGGAAGAAGTTAAAATAAACCAAAACCATCCAAAACCCCTTGGTTGGGTGTCTCCCTATTCCTATCTTGCCCATGTGTGACCTGCATCCTGTCCAGCCCCCTCCGTGCCCCTCTGTGTGACCGGCATAGAGATCGACCAAGGGAGGCTCAATCAACGGACCTCTCGCTGGACCGGAGCGCACGCCATGGCGTGCGCAACGGACAACGGATGTGGATCCCAGGTACCAGCTATATTATTATGTTTTAATGTTTCTAATCCATGTATAAGCTATAAGTAATTGGAACCACTGCTTACCTACTATACTGGTAATTGGATCCACTGGGAATGCTTACCTTGAAGCAAACCAAGAAACCATTGGTTTTCCAATCGCTTTGAGAAGGCTTGGCATCCCAGTAAGCCAAGTCGTCAGCCTTACGCCAATACCAACCCTTCCCAATGGTGGCGCAGGAATTCATCTGCAAAGCACGGTCAGAACGAAGTGCACGCACACCCTTTGGTATTGATTTTTGGATCATCCTCCCTTCCCCAGACACTCCATGGGACTGCCATAGCCGCCCCATTGAACCCCAAAACCACCCCAAATGATCGGCATATATGGCATACATGGAGTGTCTGGGTTCCTTAATTATCCTTAACTCACAATATTCAAAACCCTTTTCTTTTGAGGTCCGAGTAGATCCAGCGTATTCATATGCATTCAGCGTCTTCCATCTCTTTCTATACTTACTCTTTTTGTGGGGGCCGGGCTAACTTGGTCAACAGTCCGACACAAAAAACGACACTTCTTTACAGCCAAATGCACAGTTTGGAGGAGGAGAAGAACAAATCCTGTCACCGCCACCAACAAAACCACCAACATCCTGGACCCTTCCTCCTTGCCGTCTGGACGAAGAGCGCCTCGGACCCCCCCCCGCCTTCCAAGGTGTCCGACACTGCAGACCCCGGCGACGGGCGCGTGTCAGAGCGGGAGCGCGTCGCGCGGTCATGACGGAAACGCCCGCCTGGAAACGAGCGAAGAGCTTGGTCGTTGGTTCAGGTTGAATCTTCGAAAGTGGGGGGGAAAGTGGAACCCCAAATAGATAGTGGCACGGTGTTCAGTTTCGAGGGGATCGACTTTCCTATCTATTTGGGGGTCTATATCATGTGCATCGTTTTTCTTTTTCAGTTGGCCAGAGACCGATCACTTCTTGCAGATAATCACTTTTTGAAGAACATGCAGGTTGGGTGAGGCATGAGATCCGAGGAGGCCTCCTTTTCAGACGAAGGAGGCCTGAGATCCGAGGATACGAAGGAAGCTCGAGGATCGCATCTGCTGACGTACGACTCGTTAGACCAGAACCCGCGACGAGGAAGAAGCAGAGATGGGCAGAGATGAAGCATTACAAGTCACACTGGGAGGTGTATTCAAGAGACAAATGAAGAGCTCAGTGGCCAAATGAAGCTCACCATCTCAAGGACTTCTTTGATTGATCCCCAATGGCCTCCAAAGCTAGCCTCTATCAAGCCAGCAAACTTTGTCCCCTGCTGGGCCCATGATGTCCACGTTCCGCTCGTTCCGCTGTGAGACTGATAGAATTGCTGCGGTACTTGCTGCAATGGAACAAAATGAAGAAGGGGACATGGAGCAAGTCAACATCTGAGGTTGTCGAAGCACATCTGAGGCTGTCCAAGGGCACTTGGATGACGGTCCCGAGAAGAGCGAAGAAAACCGCACGTTACAATATCTCCTATCTCATATATTATCTCATATGCTGCTAGCTGCTAGTAGCCCTAGCATCATCCGCTTTAATCCGCTTAATCCCTGGTCCCTTCCTTTCCCTCCACCCCTCCCACCTGGTGGCAGTGAGTGTGCTCGAGCACGGGCGGGGAGCGCCGGTGGGTCGGGGGGGCTTTTCGTCCAGGAATTCGTAGAGGTCGATGCCACAGCCCTCTTCCCTGGCGAAGAAAGCGAACCTCCAACGATGGAGGTCTCCATGCTCTGCTAGCTCACAAGCGACCAAGGAACCCAACCCAACCAAAGAAACAACCAACAAAAAACAACAAGTAATACATACAAACAAACACAACAAAACAAAGAACTGTTATAAAATCATACAAATACACAAAAAGAAAACAACAACAACAACAACAACAACAACAACAACAACAAC